GAATACAGAATATATATTAATTATAAATTGCGTTACCACAGGTAACAGGCAATAATAATTACATAGTGACAAACACACGTACATATACATACATACATATATATCTACACACACATGTACATACATACGCACACACTTTTTTTTTTTGAATCCATACCAGCAATGGTAAGAGAAGAGAATTTCTTTAAGGACTCTTTATAAATACTTCCTGCCTTCTCCATTTATAAATACTACTTTATAAATACGTCCAGACTTCTTAAAGGACATTCGAAGGCACTTTTTTGTTTGTTGGCTTCTTTTTGTTCCATTATCCGTCATGGTGATGATTTTCTTTAACTGCCAATAAAATAAAATTTGTTGGCAGTATGTTTGGCTCATTGTCATGCTGAAAAATAAGACAGTTGCTATAACATAGCAAAAATATAGTTGATACTTTTCCAGATGCATCTACACGGTGGATCAAACTCTAATGGTTCTTTTCCGTGTTCGTAATTAAATCGATTTTGACAAGGTCACCATCACAACTCAGTGAAATTCAGATTCATGCAAACCATGACAGATTATCCACAGTGTTTTGTCTATAGTGACTGTAGACACTCACTGTTGTACCTCTGGCCTGATGATCTCCTCTACACATGTTGATGACAATGAACCAATACTTTCATATTTGGAGTCATCGCTTCATAAGGCCTATTGTCAATCATTTTTTTCAATTTATTTCTTGTGTAATTTGACATACCTCAGTCTTTTCTCCCTGTTTCCCTTCCTTGCTTAAGAAAGGCTTCTTGTTGGCCACCTTTCGATTCAGGTTATTTCCTGTTTAGCAAACTTCAAAGGTCAGATGCATTTCTTAAGTCCTGTGTCTTTGCTGTTTGCTTTCCATCTTCTTATAAGGGCAGATATGCCAAGCTTTTAGTTAATAGCTTTGGGAATCACCTTGTTGTTGCAAAAATTTTATGCCTGCCATACTTTATCTTTTACATTTTTCTTACATTCAACTACATAAACAGAAACAAATTATGTATTTTTGTGACAACTGCTAGTAACAAAGCTGTTTATGTGTAGACACGAGACTGGTTCATCCCTTGACCTAGCTATATATTTTTTTTGCTTTAATAATTCATACATCAGTGTCCTTTGACTTTGACATTTCGTGTCATGTGTGTACTGTATTCTGGAAATGAAAGTTGAATGAATACAACAATAAGTTATTCTGGCTTTTTCTTCAACCTTTCATCAAGATTCTAGTGTGGGTGTAGTAGAACCATGTTAAAATAAACAGAAAAAAATGTTTTTACCTCTTTATACATACATAGTCAAGCATTTGCAGCCTGGTACATGGCAAATTTGTAGGGCAAACTTTTAATAGCTGTAGAGTGTCAACACATTCTCATTTGCA